GATGTAAAGCGGCGACACACGTCAAAGGGTTTCGTTTTGTTTCACAGTATTCCTTTCTTCCTTCCTTCCTTCCTTCTTTTTCTTCTTCTTCTTTTCTCTTGCCCTTTTCCTTCCGTCCTTCCTTCCTTTCTTCCTTTCTTCCTTCCTTCCTTCCTTCTTTTTCTTCTTCTTCTTTTCTCTTGCCCTTTTCCTTCCGTCCTTCCTTCCTTTCTTCCTTTCTTCCTTCCTTCCTTCAGTTCCTCTTCCCATCCCTTTTTTATCCTCGGATATAAGCGTGCGCGCGCGCGCACACGTCTTCTCCCGGTCCCATAAAAGTGGGCGAGGCATTGCCCTCTCGTGAACTTTCGGCTTTGGCAGATGTACATAGGTATCCCAGCCAGCCGAATCCTGAAAGGAGGAGAGAGAGTGACCCGTTTTCTATCTCGCTCCTTCTAACCACCCGTACTCTTTGCTTTCCACCATTCTCCCTCTTCTTCATCCTCCTCCTCCTCCTCCTCCTCCTTCTCTTCCTCCTTACCCCGTCAACGAGCGTATCCGAACTGCACCGAACCACCACGAGCTGGTCCAGCTTTTCATATGTATGAGTCCGCGCTATCCTTTTATGTGTGTAAGTGGATACGAAGTGCGACAAAGAGAAAGAAGGGCTGACTCTACTACCCTTTACTTCTACCGAACTTTCTATATGTCTACATACACTGTCTTATCTTTCTCTAACTTATATCTTATATATATGTTGTTATATATTATATATAGATATATTTTTATGTGCGTGCATTTATCTTTTCCAGTATAAGACATCACGTAGCTCACATATAGATATATATTATATATATATTGTATATATATATATATAGATATATATATATATGTGTATGTGTATGTGTGTATAGAGGGTGGTCCGAAATTCATAGTACAAATGAGGTCAGGGGAATTTCATGGCTCAAAATAAGATGAAAATCAAGAACGACGAAATGCCCTGGGTGAATTTAATTTGGAAGAAAAATTGATTTTTAAACAGATGTACGTAGTAATATCTTGTAAGTAATTAATAATTGATTAATTATTCTTTTGGCAATTGTTCTGATTCATGATTTCATTGAATTATATATAATTTTATTAGTAATCTAAATGTTGCTGATCTGATGAATCATGATTCTGTGTTCTGACTTATTCCTTGAACAAGATACGATGTCAGGTATCGTATATCATCGATAAATACAAAATATCAACTTGTCAAAACTTATTACTTCTTCTAGATATCGATTGAGATTTTCTATGGAAACACCCCCCCTTCCTCCTACCCAACCACCCATCCCGTAGTATAAGAGATTTGAAATATTAAAATCCAACCTTGGTTGTTATATGTTACGAAGCACCTTCTCCATGTCAGAAGATTTTCCACTCATCTTCTTTTATCTATTTCGCGAAAGGGACGAGGAGAAAAAGAAGCTTTCGGGGATTTTATGGAGGACGCGTTTCGACCGTCTACGAATATCGATGAGCTGCCACCGTTGTTGGTCCAGCATTAATGCACTACCTATTCCCTACCCTATTCGGTGATGCTGGGTGCTCTGCTGGTATTGGTACGGGTGATGGTGTGTAGTTCGTTTAAAAGCTGCCAAGAATCCTGCCTCGTTTTGTCGCTCGTTTCCCTCTTTTCGCTTAGTTAGCGTTTCGATGATATTTCTTTTGGAAATAGAGAAAACTACCGTTGATTTTAATTTCTTTTTTTTTTGTTTTGTTTTTTCCCCTTAACCATTTGCCTCTCCTCCACCCCTTTCCGTATCAAGATTCGAGTCGTATAAATAAAAGGAGGGGCGGGGAGGGGAGAAAGTGAACAAGAAAATAATTAAAAATATTGAAGAAGTAAAAACGCGAATTAACTTTCTTTAATTAAAATTGCCTTAAAACTTATATATTGTTCTTTTGTTTGTTTTTTTTTTTTTTTTTTTCCCCACCAACAAAAAGATAAAAAAATCAGGAAAAGATGGATAAGAGATAATACGAGTGATTAATTATTTCTTAATGGAGCTGTACTACAGACCGATCCATCAGAAGGTGCAAAAATGCAAAGAGCCGTTTGACGTAGACGCTTCCTTTCCAACGATATAAAAAAGCACTATCTTTAGGGGTTATCGGGTTATCGTTCAAGAGTGATCCTACGAAAGGGTGAACAGTAATTCCTCCTCTTCCTCTTCCTCCTCTTCCTCCTTATACCACTTTCACCCTCTCTTATTCTTTTACTCAATTCGTTTCACTCTAACTCAATGCGACGGAACTTGCTTGCCATCTTCGAGTATTACCTTTTCTATTTCATTCGTTTGACCAGCCCCTCTTCTCTTCCACCATTACCCACCACCATCACCATTACTGGCATCACCACCCACTCATCCATCCACCTATCATCCCTCTTCGTAAGATATGAATTTAATTTTCTACGAGAATTAAGAGAAATCGCGTTAGGATTCCTCGTTTTTACTATACTACTACTACTACTACTACTACTACTACTATTATTATTACTCGGAAAGGTGGGATTTAATTTCGAATCAAAATTAGGTTAAACGCGCCGGCCGGAAGTTTCCACGCTAACCTTACTGGCTCTTCAGCATGGATTTTTCGTTAATTGCTTTTTTAGTTTTTTTTNGGGATTTAATTTCGAATCAAAATTAGGTTAAACGCGCCGGCCGGAAGTTTCCACGCTAACCTTACTGGCTCTTCAGCATGGATTTTTCGTTAATTTTTTTTTTTTTTTTTTTTTTTTTTTTTTTTTTTTTTATTTCTTTTTTATAATTCTTACGGAGATTTTTTCTTTTTTTTTTATCTTTTGCCATTTTATTCCTACATTTATTTATTTATTTATTTATTTATTTTCCTTTTTCTTTTCTTCGCTCCCTTTATTTCCAATTCCCCTTTTACTTCCTTTCTTTTCTTCCTCTTTTATTTCTTTCAGGACAATTTCTCGCGTCGCGTTTCGCGCAAATTAGCGATTTATCGAATCGTGCTCGATTATAATCGAATTGGTAATTATAAAACTTGTTTTCTCTTACGATTCTAATTCGATGATTCTATATAAACGAGAAATTCTTTTAGATTATTTCTTCGTTTCCCTTGTGTTTTTACAACGTTAATAATCGATCCCCCATCGTCAGGTTTTTTTTTCCTTTTCCTCACCTCTCCTCTCTTCTCCTCTCCTCTCTTTTTTCCTTTCACCAATCTATCCACCGACCTCCTTCTTTCGTCGTTCGCGAGAAGAATAACTTTTCAAAAAAAAAAGTGTTACACGAGTACGCGTACGGTTTCTTTATCTCATTTGTACGTCGTCCAAAGGTGAAAAATATTTTCTAACGATAGATGAAAAATTTTATATAAAATGATAAAATATTTCAAGGAAAAATAGGATAAACCCTTTTTCTGTTATAGAGCAAAAAGATTCGCGTTGCATGCGTTATGAGGTTTGGAAGCAACGTCGAAGGGTGATAAACGATGCTTCTTCGTGAAAAATTCTATCCATCTTTGAGTTAGATTTGAAGTATTTAGAAGAATTACGATCAACCAAGAAAGAGAGAGAGAGAGAGAAAGAGAGAGAGAGAGAGAGAGAAAGAAAGATAGATGGGGATTATGAAAAATGAACACGGTGGACAAGAAACTGATCGAAGGAAAATGTCGGACAAGTTGAGCACGTACGAAACTCTCTCGATTCGTCATTTGGATATAAATAATAAATCATGAGTTCTTATACATTTCTAGACAAAGTTATTCTCTCTCTCTCTCTTTCTATTTCCTTGATGATCAACAGGTCATCTGAGAAGAAAGAAATTCGAATGAAATCGATGAAAATCTGATTAATATAGAAGTGGTGATGTTGGTGGTGCTGGTGATGATGATGTGGTAGTGGGGAAAGAAAAAATAAAAAGGAAATATAAGTAATCGTATTAAATAACCGAAACCACACCCCAGAAAGTGTTCCTGCCAAACTAATGCATCTATGACAGTTCGGAGGCGTGACGACGGCGTGTCTAAGATGATTTTCCTTAGCCGCAATTGGCCGGAGTGTATTCAAAAATAGTAACGTTGGGTGTGACCAACGCACATGAACACGCGTTTAATTTCATTGTGTGCTAACCAACAACAGTATACACCAACACACACACACACACAGAGACACAGACACGTATTCGTAGAGATAGATATATATATATATATATATACATACGTTGGTATGCGATACGCACGCTGTGCCGAAAGCTAAGAGAATATGAGCGAGAGAAAGAGAGAAATATAAACGCACACGAAGACAAAACCATGTGGCCTGGCGGAGACACTAAGTGCTCGAAAATGCTGAAGGCTTCACTCCGATCTCCGACTCCAAAGATTTCGGGTGTTTGTTGTGTCTTTTGAGAGATCGGACAAGATCGAACGATAAACGTTAAACAATTAATTACGAATCCGATAAAATGGTGAACGTGTGATTTTGTTCGTAATATCGGTTCATTCGCTTATAATTTTTCTTTCGTTCGATAAGAACGCGTGTATCGTAAAGTGACGATTCTATGTATATATACGTATGTGTGTATGTACGTATTGTAATATAACGTAATATAACATAATGTTTCTTTCATCATCGATATCTAGACGAAATTAAAAGAAAAATATATCGAAGTTAAAGTTAACCCAAGAGTAATTTTCGATGCGCGTACACGCGTTTGGGAAAAGTAACAAAATTCATTTACGCGAAGTCCCCGGTGGGTGATAACAATAAAAAATTGTTCTATGTGTTACTCGTTATGAAAAGTTTAACGAATGTACGAATGAATGAGTGAGTGAGAAAAAAAAAAGAAGTGATATTATAGAAGAACGGGATTATATCGAAGAAAGGATCCGGAATAATATTGTATTAAACTTTGATACGTTTCTTATTATCATTATGAGTAAGTTTGAGTTATCATAGAGAACATATTATAGAAGAGAAAAATATAACTTTTTTAGTTAGATTTTTATAGAAATAGTAATAGAGGGGAAGTAATTGAATACGTGTAACGAGAAAAAGAAAAAAGAAAAAGAAAGAAAAAGAAAAGAAAATATATTAATAACAATTGGATTCTTTGGAATCAAGTTGGACTTGAAATGATGACCCTCGTAACCGATACCGTTCCGTACGCTTACGACACCGTTACAAGCAGGTCGAGTTACGACACATATCGACATCATCACCTGCACCATCATCATCATCATCATCGTCATAGACACATCTATGCGTCCACGGATAACGAATATCTTCCGAGTTACGTTAGCAAAAGAGACACGGAGGAACGGCAGATGAGGAACGTAAATGCCGATAACAGTTTGGCGTCGGTCAGCTCTAATCACTTTCGTCATGAAAATGTCAGGTGAGAATGAGAATTCAATTCGGATATAGGAACTATCGAATAATAAATCCAATTTCAAATATATATATATATATTAGATCCGTCAAATTGATAATAAAAAATGAAAAATGATTTCTACGTTTAAAAAAAAAAAAAGAGAGATACGAATAATTAGGATAATATATAATAAAAATAAATGACAGTAAATGGTGTATATGTTTAAACATATTTTAATATTGATAGACGATTTTTGTTGTAAAAGGATTAGAGTCAAAGACCGTGATATCTCTCGAGACACGATAACGTGACGTAGAATAAGGAAGCTTGGCTTTACGACGACGAACGTTCTCTTCTCGATTCTGTGTCAAGTGCACGACGAAAAAGTTACCGTGATTTCACCTAAATTGCACGTTAGAAATAGGTACCGAGAGTTTTACCACCGTGAAAAAGAACAAAAAAAAAAAAAAAAAGAAAAATGATTAAACTTTTGTATTTTGTTATTGGTATACGAAACGAAGTAACCGATGATACGATAATATTTCATATTATTTTCTCTCTTCTTTATTTCATTCAATAAAAAAGAGAAAAAAGGAGAATAGAATAAATGCAAATTACCGACACACACACACACACGTGTTTTAAGAGATCTCATTCGATATGGAAACGAATACGATTAAAATTCGAATATTAAAGTTAAATAATTGAAAATATCCTGTGGGAATAAAATGATGAGGTTTATAGAAATTACGTTATGTTAGATTTTTCTCAAAAAACGAGTTATATCGTTCGCGCAATTTTATTTCGAAGAAGTTTTGCTCGCAGTTTAAAAAGATAAAAAGAGAGAGAGAGAGAGAGAGAGGGAGGGAGAGGGAGTCCCGGCAGGATGATCTATCACTTTCTCTCGGTTAGAACGTACGAGTGACACATTTATCGGCGTACCGTTGAAATCGAAGTCTGAAAGTCCTGTATTTTAAACGAAAATGCGACGACGGCTTTAAAGCGCATTAAACCATTTTCACCTCGTACCACGAGTCTTCCTTTTCTTTGTTTTTCCATTACCCTTCCTACCTTCCACCCCCGTAAATCCCCCCGTCTCTCTTCATCTTTACTTTGTCTCTTGTATGAAAATGAATCTCGTTCGTACACATACATATACACACCCGCACGCACAGTACACACACACACACTATTTCTCTCTATCTTTTCGTCTTTTCCTCTCAAGTATCCCATCTTTCGAGTATTAAAGTATAAACCAGAGTAGAAGAGAGTTTATGGCGTATAGAGAACTTAAGGAACCACCACCTGGAACGATTCCAATCGCGGAAACTGTTTTCTGACAGACTTACGCACGTGCCACCATTATTAACTAGCCGGCTAACGTTAACCAAAGGATGATTAAGGCAACAATTCGACAATTCGTTTATTTTGCGATATCTTAACTAGCATTTTCATCGAGCCTAATCATTAACCAACCCACGTTTTATTATTATTATTATTTCACTTTCTATACCTTAATATTCTTATCCATTATCAAATCATATATATTCAAACATTCAAGTTGAAACGTCTGATTGTGACAGTGGTTGTTATCTTAGATATCTTTTAAATGAGAATAAGGGCCTTTTGAGGGTCATCAATGATTAGTATAATTTATTATTTAATACTTTATCTTTTTTAGAATAATCTTATATATAAATACATATATCGTTTGCATGATATGTGTGTGATTATTATACGATTCGATAGATCAGATATAATAGGTGTTTTGTGTTTTTCTTTTTATTTTTAAATTAAAATAGGACACAATCTAGATACATCCTAGATTCGGACGATGCATCCTCGGTTGTCTCGGCTGATGCTTCTGCTGATTTAGAATCACCTTCGGCAGATGGGGAAGAAACGAATGAGAGTGAAACGGTTGAACATGTTCCTCATCCACACGTCCTGGACACCGGTTCACCTCATGGACCACGGAGGTGCTTGCTTTGGGCTTGCAAAGCTTGTAAAAAGAAAACTGTCACCGTTGATCGTAGGAAAGCTGCCACGTTGAGAGAAAGAAGACGTTTGAGAAAGGTTTGTGTATATGTGTTTTTAGGTTTACTATTCTTCATTCAATTCTTTTTGTATTCAATTTTGAATCTTGGTTTAATCGTTAGATTTAAGTATCGATATATTCGACTAATGTTAATTCTTAACTCGAGTGAATTTATCAATTAATCGCGGACCGTCGGAAGATCTTCATCGATCGAAATTTCATTGCCGGTTATCCAATTAACAGCAATCCACACGGTTCCAAGGGTAAACGTAATTTTGACCGAGTCATTCGCCCTAACTAATCGACTCTGAGTAATCCTAGCCAACACAGATAAACGTTTCAGGAACATTAAAACGAATCAAGTTGGTGATATACCTAATCAAAGTTAAAGAGAAATACTTTTACTTTTTCTCTTTAAAAATTGCAATCACACTTACGTATATTACGTAAAACGAAATATTTATAATCAAAGATAAAAAAAAACGTATACCTTTTGAGCAATCATGGTACTGAACAATTAGGAATTTTTTTTTTTCTTCCTTCCGTTTAAAAATCATGTCTCAATTTTTATTTCACGATTTTTCTTACCTCTCTTTCGAAATATATCTGAATTTAATTTATAAAGTAAATGTTTATACACCATTCGAGAGTTGTTTGATAGTAAGAAAATATTTATCGACGTTTATTACCCCATTAAAGTAAGAGAGAAGCTTTTCGGATGACGAATATAATTCCCGAGAGCCTATTTTCAAATCTTATATCTCAAGATGATTTTCGGTGATTGTTAAATGTTCGAGTTGAATTATTTTACAATTTAAAGTTACTCTTTAACTTTTTTAATTTATCATCATTTTTATTTATTACCCCCGTATTATGATTAATGATTTACAGGTTAACGAAGCCTTCGAAGTATTAAAACGAAGAACTAGCAACAATCCTAATCAACGTTTACCAAAAGTTGAGATACTTAGAAATGCGATAGAATATATCGAAAGCTTGGAAGCATTGTTGCAAGGGAACCGATCTTCTGGCTCGCAGGATCACGTGTCGATGGAAAATATGGTATGTACAAACAAACGAAAAATATTTCAACGTGTCAATGAGGATTCGAAAAACAAAAGGGTTCTTAGGTTTTATTGATAAAATAAAATTCAATAGAACCGTTAGATATATCGGGAAAAGAATATTTTTGTGTATCTTGCATTATAAAATTTCTTGTTTTTATTTTCCTTATATGAAAAGATGACAAAAAGATGAAAGTGTTTATATACGTAACTATTGATAAAATAATATATAAGAAAACGAAGTGTAGATCACGAGGAAAATTCTTTTTTCGACGTGAATCAGTGAGGTTATTGAATTTATCCTTTTTCTTTTCTTTTCTTATTTTTCTTTTTTTTTTTTTTTTTTACCGAAAGAGTATGTTTGCGAGAGAATAAACCGCAAGAGTAAACCGTCTTCATCGTTTTTTCGGCACAAAGTATTGGAAACCAATAAGGAGAGGAAGTGAATAGAAAGAAATAGATAGATAAGCAAGGTGAGCATTTAAAGTCTGATGCCACACTACACTTTTCTTTAAGTTCAAATCGATACGATCGGTTTTGTCCTTCTCAAATATCCATTATTATTTTTCCTTTTCACGAACGATCACAAATTCTCCTTTCAGATTTTGTCAGAAAAATATTCTCTTGATTTATTGATCGCGATTCGTTCGATTTAACTAAAATAAAGTTGGTTAAATTAGAAAATGGGTTTACCAAAAGTTACAATGAAAAAATCGATATACATATATATTTATTTATATATACATAAATATATTTATTTGAATATTCTTTCTTTTCTCTTGTTTTTGATATTAAAAACTATTATAGTTTCAATTTGTTCATATTTTTTCCAACAAACTATCGTTTCCAAATAAACTAAAGGTAGAATATCATGCAACGATACGTATGGTACGAGCAAATTTATATAAAATAATTTATTAACTTCTAGATTACTATAGGCTTATTCAATTTTTATATATTTATAATAGCATTCATCACATATACAAAGAAATAAATAATATTTAAATATAATGAAATATTCAATTAGTCAAGAAAATATTATTTAACGAAAATGCATCTCCCTATGAAAAAATGTAATACTTTACATCGTAACCGAATAACCATAATCAAAGATCTTAAATTCGACGTTAAATAAAAATGAAACAAATCAAATCTAAAATAATCAATAGTTATTTAGATTAGTGTTAGAAAAAAAAATTAAAAAAAAAAAAGTAAGAGAAAAGATTAGCGATCTAGGAAGATAAATTTTTTGTGTTGGACTTGTATTTTTTTTTTTTGTTTTTTTATTTCTTTTCTGTATCTTCTCACCCTACGGGTAAAGTTGTTAGGGGAATAAGAACTGGTGGTAGTAGTGGTAATCGGCGTCTTGGCCTCTGATCTCTCTCGCTTTCTTTCTCTCATTCATTCCTACACTCTTTGGACCACTAAACACCCCGTACACATTTTATCCGTCTTCCCCATATTCCTCTATTTGTACTCGACGCATTCTATATGTGGCGTCGCCACGAACTATTCTCGGAGTGAAAGAGAAACTCCTCGTTATTCTCTCTCACTCACTCACTCACTCACTCACTCACTCATTCTCTCTCTCTTTCTTTTTCCTCTTCTTCTGTATTTGAACATCCGAGAAGAAATCGGTAGAAAGAAATCATCGTCATCTAGTGTGTATAGTAATACAACAGCAGATATTTTTTTCATCGATTTGATTAACATGGTTTTGAAGTATGACGATATTATCATCCCCTACCGTCATACCTTTTTTGACACGTAAATGATGCAAAAGATCAAACCTTTATTGAATTTATATATTACGTTATTCTTTTATCAATAATAATAATAATAATAATAATAAAAATTGATGTGTGTACTTATGTATGCACGTAAGAAATTATACTACTTTAGCATACCAAAACGAATATAACCTCGATAACCTCAAAAATAACTTCAATTTGCCCGCGCATCGTAAATATCGACAACTTCGTGGTGTTGATTTTTCGGTCGCATCTAACTTCACTTTCCAAAACGCGCCAAAAGAAGTATAATTTCAGAAACACACGTAGACCAAAATCAGCTTGATTTAAATTGATCCGAAAATAGTAGGTCTCATTATTATTATTATCTAAAATTATCTAATCTCAAAAAAAAAAGAAAGAAAAAGGGTTTACGATTATACGATTCTCATGATTTTTACGAATTCGCGAATGAGTATCGCGAAGTAAATGACTAACGACAATATTATCAAAGATTAATCGAAAAGTAGAGATGACTTATTTGTACTGTTAGAAGAAGAAGAAAAAAAAAGAAGAAAAAAAAGATAAAAAAGATAGAGAAAAAGAGAGAAAGAGAAAGAAAATCTCGAGAAAAGTATAGTCCCGACCTCCAACATTGAGGCCGCGGCTTCGTGCTATCTACAAGAGCAAACATCGTGCTTATTTAAAGCTTGCATTTTACTCTTGCAAGCCGGTTAACTCATCCTACTTTACGATAAAAGCTGCCCGATTCAACCGTCGTCTATCTTTTCAGAAACTCGCGATCGTTTTTGACACTCAAAACCGAAAGACGACGGATACAAGTAAGAGAGAGAGAGAGAGAGAGAGAGAGAGACGGAAAGAGGAAAACGGGGATAGTAAAGAGGAGGAGGAGTGGCAGGGGGAATGAGGGGGGAGGAAAGGGAGAGAAAATATGAGATGAGACAGAGGACAATAAAAGAAGAAAATTAGAATGATACGTTTAACGTGTCTGAGATGAGTGCAGCAACCGCGTATAATATCGGGTCTGACATGAATCGAAACAAGAATCCAACTACCACTAAGATACTCAACACACTCTGACCAGCAAAGAATTCAATTTTACGAGATCGAACCACTTTGCGTTATGCTCGAATGTTGTTTCCTTTCGATTTATAATCTGACTTTTAATTTTGTTTCTCTTTTCTTTTTTGAAATTTTATTTAAACGATGAATAATTATTATGTTACATACGAGACGAGACGAATCGCATAATATATTATATTATAATATTTGAGATTGATTTTTATATTGAGATCCATTACGATTCCACGAGTTTTTTTTTTTTCTTTTGCTCTCTCATCTGACCCTTTTTTCTTTTTTTTTTATTTCATTATATTTTATTTCATTCGACAGAGAAGAAAAAGAAGAAGAAGAACGGTGATAAAGATAGAGAGGAAACACATATTTTTTTGTTGCTGGTTGTATTTTTTTCTTCTTTTTTTTTTGTTCTTCTAAAGAACGGGACGAATCGAAAAAAAATACAAATATGTGGTAGTGGATAGATACACCATTTCCATAAAACTGATTTGTTTTTTTTTTTTCTTCTATCGAATACTTCAAATTAGAACCGCTACGAGATTTTATTGGTTTCTGTTGCTTTTTTCTTTTTCTTTTCAATTATATTTCATTTTATTCGACACACAGAACAGAAGAAACAGAGAGAGAGAGAAAGAGAGAGATAGAGAGAGACAGAGAGAATCATATTTTGAAGTGTAGGAATAATATTAGAAATTTGTTATTGTTAAATATATACGACAGAGAAACAATTTCCATATATCAATCAGAATACAAACGAAATATATAACCCTATGCATGCAAATAAAACTCGAATACGCATCAAAATTAATAATCAACGGAATTTCGTTGTTTTATTTGTTTCTATTTTTATTTAATTAATTTCTACAATCAAAAAATACACAGAACGAAAGAAAGAGAGAGAGAGAGAGACAATTTTTGATAGAAATTGTTTTCAATATCTGTCAAACCGAGCACGAATTTTTCTTCGCGTATCGATCGGCAACGAAAATGACCACCGTTTCTCGTGTGAAATAGAAAAAAAAGAACAAGGAAAAGAAAAACAGAGATTTCTCGAAAAGAAAGAAGGGTCCTCCCCGTTGATAAAAATCCAATAAAAGGGAAGAAGTAAGGGATAGAACAAGGGTGGGGGGGAGTTGTTGTTGGAATCGGGTTCATCGATCGTCCACGTCTTACGTGGATAATATTCCCGTTTTATTTTACGAAAAAGTATCCAATATTTTACTCGTTTCAGTTCGCGTAGTCGTAGTCGTCAAGATAGAAAAAGACAAAAACAAAAAACAAGAAAAAAAGAAAAAGAAAAAGGAAAACAAAAAAAAAGAAAGAGACAGAGAAAGAGAAAGATATAGAGAAGAAAGCTAAGAAAATTTTTCGTTTGAGTCCCTTATTCGTTTGGTCTCTCGCGACGGGCATTGTGATTTGTGTGACTGCTAGCTTTCTTCTCTCTTCTCGAATCGGTCCGACGCTTTATATTTAGCGAGGGTGAACCAAGCTTCCAGTTAGAGAAAGAGGAAGAGGAGGAAGAGGAGGAGGAGGTAAGGCAGAACGAGGGGGAGGACGAGGTGAGGGCAAAAGACGCGAGAGGGAAATATATTTCATTGTGTAATCCTCTCGAAGAAGAATCCCAAAGTGGCATCTCATCTCTCTCACACACACTTTCTCATTCTCTCTCTCTTTCTCTCTCTCTCTCTCTCTCTCTCTCTCTTTAGCGAATAGAGGAGCCCGCCCAACATGAAATCGGCGAGTGTTCCTCCTCCTGCGAAATTCCTACGCTCGTTCAGGAATCTTCTTTTCCCGTTTCCAGTTCTACCCATCTACTCTCGGTAATACGGTTCTCTCCGTTTAGTAAGGCACGTCGCTTTTACAAAGCCTCAAAAAAAGCCTCAATTTGTCTCTCACTTTCTTCCTTACCGCGATTTTATTTCTTCCATCCCATCCCATTCCACCCTACCCCATACCACCCCAACCCCTTCATTGACGAAACGTATATGTGCACAACATTTCGACGCTCTCTTAAAATTATTGTTCTGATTATCCTACTCTCTTTCTCTCTCTCTCTCTCTTTCTTTTGATTTTGCATTTTATATTCGAGCACCCGTTTAAACTGGATCTTACGATTAATTATTTCCCTAATTCGATAAAACTTCGTACGATTCTATTATCCCTTTTTTAAAACCTTTGAGTGTTACAAACAACGCGTATATGCGTTTGGTAACAATTTTTGCCAGAGAGTGATTTGTCAATGTATTAAATGTAAAATAATGTAACACGTTGGTTTATAGGAATTGATTATTGATTTGAAAAATTTATCACACATTAAAATTATATATAAGAAAGTAAAATTTTATATAATTATTAAATATAATTTAAGATAATTCAAGCACTCAAAGGGTTAATATATTTCCATGATTATTTTATCTTTTACATGTATAATATATGAGAAAAGAGTATTCCATCGAGGTTTGTAGAAAATTCTATAAAATCTTGGTAAACCAAGTAAATATGATTTCTTTTTTTTTCTTTTTTAATAACCATACGCGAGTTAATGGCATTACCCGTCATACTCGCGCCATGTAGTCGCGTTCAACAACAACAACTTTCTCTCATTAAAAAAAAAAAAGAAGAGAAAGTCAACCCTTTTTACATCCATCAAAAAGTAAAAAAAAAAAGAAAAGAAAAAAAAAGGAGAAAAAAACGATAATATACACTTAATGCTGTCGCAGGTCAAAAACCATTAGGCTGCCTGACCGTTGAATGAGCTGCACGTGTCCCACACGTGTTAAGTTACTTTTTCGTTGCATCGTGGAAAATGATGCGCGTTAGATGTAACAAAAACTAATCCTTTGAGAGTAATTTATGTTACCTAATGTTTGATTATTTTATTCGTCAGTCATAGATGTGTAAAATAATCGAATATTGAGAAAAATTGGTGGCCGGGGGGCGTGGGGGGTGGTACGAGGGGCAGGAGGAGGAAACGTATTTGTACGAGTAGTAAAATAACGTTAAAGGGAATATCCAAGCGCATGATTTCGATCTCGTTGAACATGTCCTATCGACAACTTGCACCAATCTCGTTCGCGTTTAATCTTTATCTCGGTTATATCGTTCATCGAACGATTTTCGCTTTTGGTAAAGTCACTGGACCACGCAGTGAATCGGCTTTCTGGTAATAGTTACGACCACAGTTTAATCGTTTACCATTGAATCCGATAGATATTCTATCGTTGATCTCTTTGCTACTTGTATAAGGGCTGTCACGTTATAGTGTTCTATATCCAGATTAAATAAAACAATTTTCCATTTTCTCGAATGGCTCGTTAAATCACATTTCTTTTTATTTCACGATGAAATTGTTATATTTCTTTCTCTCTCTCTCTCTCTCTCTCTCTCTCTCTCTCTGTCTCTTTCTTTCTTTTGTGAATGTCTACTATAACCATCGATTAGGTTTTAAAAGCGTATAAGTTACGGTTGATTCATCGTCGGCCTTCCCTCGATACGCGCGAATTTCGTTCGGAGTTTCTTCGAGGTTAACTTCGAAAGACGTCCTTTAGACGAAATTAGAATTGAAAAGAGGTAGAAAAAAAATAAGAAAAAAAAATAAAGAAAATAAAAAGAAATCGTTTTTAATCGCGTCGAATCCGTTGACGCGATATTATAACCCGATGACTTCGTTCCTTTGGCTCGTAACAACGTTCAACGTTGAAATGTTGTAGACGTTAACGAGGAACACGAAAAATTTCAACGATTAGAATTAATAAATGAATTTATTCTATTACAATATATATTTATGTCCTTGATCGTCTCGGTATTAAATACTACGAAATGCACGAATGCATACACTTGTAAAATATATATATATGGTTTGTAACATATACCAGATGCCAATAACTGAAGAAATATTACACCATGACACAAGAATCGAATAACTTTAGTCGAAGCTTTCTCTAAACTTTTCCGAAGTTTCCATCGTCCATTCCTTTCAAAGTCCACGACAAGAGTAGATCGATTTTACGTTTACCATCTCGACTATCGAAAACTTACTCACCACCACTACCACCCACCACCACCTAGTTTTCTCCTCGTCGTCATAGTTGTTGGTAACGAGTCACCGAGACGTGACGACGTATAATTCGGTGTTTACGATGTTTTCGAGAAGTAAATCGTCCAGAAGAGTATTATATATTACGCGTTTGCGTAAATATTCATTAGTTATACTCGACAAATGTCATATTCTTTTATCTTTATTTTTTTTCATTGAGTGAATCCCTTTAATTCTTACCAAAATATCTTGACGTTTAATATACACACACACACACACACACAAATAATACCGTAAACAATTTTGTCATCGTAGAGAATTTAATATTCAATTTTTTACTTATATATTTTTATTTTTGTTTTTAATATAACGATTGATTTAATAAACGATTTAACGATTTTTATTTTTTCAATTGAATAATCGTAGAAATGGCAAATAAACGATGGTTCGAATTTGCCTTTTGTTCAAAGTGATTAACTCGCCTTGTATAATATTGATCGGTATAAGCATACAATGTTAATACATTGTGAATATGTATATACATATCTGAAGGCGACTCGATTACGATGGGTACGCATCTATGCAACTCGATTAAATTCAAAGTGCACGCAATGACCCAATTTCAGCCAAGAGTTTCGAGGGTTCGAACTTCGTCAAACATCGGAGCTTCGACTATTCTCTTCGAACGTGATATCAATTCGAGAACGATAACCTGCTTCCGGATATAAATCGGAAAAGTTAACGCTGAAACGTGCGACATTTTTCTTTTTCTTTTTCTTCTTTA